AGTTGATATATTTTTCTGTTGAATGTTGAAAGTTTCCATCTCTGATTGTGGAAGATCTGCAGTAGAAGACTTCAAATCTGAGCCGAGTTGTACCATGTTAGCTTGTTTAAGTCAGGAGTCTTGACTATGCTCGTGCAAGGTAGTACCAATATAGTCTTTCTTCCTTCAATTCAACTGTTACTTTGTGCACTTTGTGAAAGCAGCTCTTAGACTGAAGTGTGCTTAAACTGAAATCTGGTTCCTCAGGATTGTTGTTTGTCAGGGATGAACACATTCTTGAATCAGAAATGCATTACAGATGCACCAAACGGGGACAAGTCAGATGTTTTATTCATTTCTTTGGTTCTTCATTCCAGTGTGTGTGGTGTTTTTTTTTAATAATCTGTCAAATGACCCATGCCAGAGATTTCCAGTGAAGTCTTTTGTGAGAGCATCTGATAAATTTCGCTAGGAAGTCATCGGTCTCAGATTTGGACATCTTGTTTTGCTCGCTGAGACTTGGAGTTCCTTCAGCAAATGGCAAAAGTGACATCTCCTTGACTGATGCAGCTTTCTTTAATCTGAGCTAAACAATAGTTATTTTATACTAATAAATTAATATGACACAGCACACGTCCTCTCCATTTTGTTGTGTGTTTTTTGTTTGTTTTCCTTGGGATTTGATGTTGTCATGTAACTGGCATTTTCTCCCCCCTCCCCTCCCTAAGAGTTTTCTATAATTGCTTTCTTCTTCTTTTGAACAATATCCAAACTTGCAGGTATCCAGCTGTGAGAGGAATGGGAAAGGATAGAGGAAAAAGCTTCAGTCTGTTTACCTGCAACTCTGTTTCTTCTCTTTGGAGGTGGTTGGGATTGCTTCCCCTTGAACTCGCATTCTCCGCTGCACTGATGTGCTGCGCCTCATTTGATGCCCCTTTAAGTAGAGAACGAAACTGTATGATTATTTCCTCTAATCTTGTTATTTTTATGCATTTAGTTGCTAATTGGAATAATGGTTGACACACAGATGACAAGGATATTTAGCAAAAAATTCTGTGGTTTCATTTAGCTTGATTGTAACTTCTGTGTGCTTACAGCTTAATACTTGTTTTGGGTGGTAACTGACAATTAGTTTTCCAGAGCTGAACATCTGAAGGTAGAATGTGTGAATAGGTGAGCAGCAGCTTCTTAAATGTGTGGTTGCTTTCATTGGATATACCAAGCTGTAGTGAGTGCAGAGTAGCTCGGGCTCTTTCAGACTTTCTTGCTTATTCATGAATTCCACAGAATATCTTAGGACAGTGCTCATGTGCTAGGCATGAGTGCTTAGGCTAAAATAGGATACTGTTGTATTAAAGAAGGCTAATATTAGTGTTTTGCAAAGGAATCCAGTGTGTGAACAAATTCAATGTGTGACAAATATATTCTTTGCAGAAATTAAGATTACTGAATGCTTAGAAATTGTCATGCCTGAGAAGTGCAAAAAGGGGAGACTTTTTGTGTCTATGACTTGAATTTCTTATACTGAATTCACCAGTTCCTTTTGTAGGAGAAGTTTTTAGATGGATCGCTCTTCATTTTGAACAGCTAACACCTTTATTGTTCCTAATCCAAAGTGTTAGGGAATTTTGAACATTTTAGTCTAAAATGTCTCTTTTTTGACTACTGATAGCAGTATTTTATTTAAAAAAAAAAAAAAAAAGGAACCTAAGCTTTGTGCCAGCTTGAGATGTTTATATGTACTGTCAAATGGTAAAGCAAGAAAAAAAGTATGTGACTTAATTACATCCACGGGTAACCTTTCAGTCCTTTCCCACAGAATGAAAATGTGAGTAATCTTGCAGTACATAACGTTTTGACACAAACTCACTTTGTTTTGTTTCACAAAACAATATATTTCACATATCCTGTAAATTGTTAAGTTTTGTAACTTTCCTTATCATAGTTCAATTGGGGAAAGGGGACTTGTCACACTAACTGGAGAAAGCAATGTACATTATGCTACAGTGACCGATTCGTGTATTTGTTTGCTTTCCAATTTGTCACTAAAGCCTGAGTCATTGTTACTGTTATAACAAATATATATTAGATAACTTATCTCAGCAAAACTGTTTCTCGTCTCTTGCAGTTACGATAGCAGAAATTTCGGACTATAAAGACAAAAACAAGCAATTTTTTCAAACGGTGACAATATTTTAGACTCAAATGAATTGTTTGAAACATTTTTAACACTGAATATCGCTGGCCGTTATGTTAAGCTGATGACAGCTGACACTCCCTCAGACTTTCCAGCAAGTGCTACTAGTTCTCTTTTTCTCCAGCAACTTTGAGGTTAAAGATTCCTCCCTGCGATGTAGTGGGTAGTACTCAGACTTGTGGATCCAGGTGTGGATTTGCCTTAAGTGAGGAGAACAAGTGAGATTATTCCAGTAGCTTGTAAAGGGAACTACATCAATAGGATGTAAATTTAGGCTGGTTGAACTATGCAAAAAAAAAAAAAAAATTTTTTTTTGAAGAAAAGAAGGCACCTGAGTGTGCCCTTGTCGGGGGGGAAAAATCTATATATTGGATAGAGAGACCTGGGAAAAGTGCTTTCTAAACTTTGAACTCCAGCGTCTTTTTAACTCACTGAAAGATATTTAGGTCACTTTACCCCTAAATACCTTTTCATACCTGAGTATAATTCCTGGTGATTCCAGTGAGAATTGCAATTGCTGTAGCTACTTGGTGTCAACCTTTTCTTCGTTCTGAACAGTAGCTGTCTCATGTACTTGTTGAGGAATAGTTAATGTCTGCGTTGAATTTATGTGATACTTCTCAATAAAACCTCTTAAGTAACAGTTTTCATATTGCTCAAAATGTCTGCTATGGGACTGGATCCAGAAAAATTGTGGATCTGCTGTCAGCACCGTTTTTCTCCTCCAGGAGAACCTGATAGGGGCCCTGCAGCCCATGGGCCTTTTCTAAGGGGGCTGGCTTTTAGTAGAAACCAAATACCTTCCTCTTCCAGCTCAGCTTTGCTTTTGTTTTGTTCTCTTTTTCTTCTTGGAAAAGGAAATTACAGAACCCTTATTACATTATTTGGTATCTTTAGCTCACTGTTTTGATTTTTGTGGGTTTATCTTCTTGCAGCAAAGCTGATAAGTAATGGCTTTGCCAAATATTAGGTCACATTACTTAATATGTGTAGTATGTTTGCATAGTGTGAGACCTGTAGTGATGATTGTAGTGTGGATACACTACAGAAGCTGAGAAACTGGAAGGCCTAATATCAAAACTACAAGTGTAACTGGATTTTGCGGTTTTGAGTACTGTTCACACAACGCTCTGCCAGTGTAATTGATTCCATTTCGTGAGAGTAGACTGTGATCTACTTTTAATTTTTTTACAACCACTGTGCTGCTTTTTAGCAAAGGTCATATTCTTATTCCTACCTAGAAGGATCCTCCAAAAGATTACTTCTTCCATTAGTACTGTATATATGTAAAAAAATATTTTAAATGATTGCTGCTATAGCAAAACCCATTCTGCTTACCTGTAACGTACAAATATTTTACCGAGTGAGCCATAAATACTTTATTTCTCTGTCTGCTCAAAACGGTTTCTTGCATGTGATGCAAACTGTGGAAAGCTTTATTTGTTAACCTAAAAAAGAAAAAAGTCTGTTACCAGTATAAACTAGCAAAAAAAATGCACTGAAACAGTTGCTTTGAAAGGCTTTAAACTCTTGGTGTACGTTTTCAGTTTTATGTAATAAATCAGAAGTAGTTTTACAGTTAGAGTTGTGTGGCTGAAGCTTGGCAAATCTAGGGGACTGACTTAACCAGACTGGATCTAGACTGGAAGGACTGCATTTAAAAGTTGGGGTTTTTTTGTTTGTTTGTTTTAGACAGTAGTAGCTTACTGAGGTTAGTGTATTGAATTGTTGGAAGCAACTCAATCTTTTGCTTTTCTTTTCAATTCATGTTATGACTTTTTGCAGAAAGCGTATCATCGTTGGAGACACTTGAATACTCTGGCAGTGAATAATACAAAAATACTGGGCCTGGAAAACTTTGTTCAAATCTTTCGAAACTATGAAATAATCACTTTTTTCGGTAAATGTATAAAGGTATGCAGATGTGTCCTACAACAAAGCTGGCCATGCTTGCTACCTGATAGCTAATCAAATGGGGTACAGACTATCAGTTAGCAAGCACAGCCAGTTTGTCGTAGGGCACATCTGCACGTCTGAATTCTTCTAAAGAAACTAAACCACCTTCTATAGCAGTCTTTCAAGTCAACTTGGATTAAGTGCAGCATAGGGAGTTAAATATACTACTGTACTGAAAGTCGTTTGATGTCATAAGGTTATTGCAGATTACTGTTCAGTGTCTATTTTCAATTTCTCACTTCTTGACTAAAGAGGATGTTTTTGTTATATATGTAGATTGGTTTCAACAAAGGTTCAAAGACCTCCTATGAACAGGACAAAACAGAAGCCAAAGAATGCACTTGGTGATGGAGTAAGATGGGTTAGCAGTGTTGTCTGAAAAGTCTCCTGAAAATAAAATTTGCTCTCCTTTTTTTGAGGAGAACTTCTTTGCAATGCAAGCAGGAAGGAGGCAAAAAAACAAATGACAATTGTCTGTGAACTTGAGTCTGGAAGACTATTGTTCTCATCACAAGGAGAACCATGTATTGCTTAATTATACACAAGACATTTTTCCTCTCTTGCATTTCATTGAAGGGAGGGAAGTCTAAACAATTAGCCACAACACTGGAACAGCCCCATCTTTAAAACTTTAGCAGGGTTCCTCTCAAGGTGTTTCATGCCTTTGTTTTTTGTTGTAGCTATCTGTGTTCCAAAATGATCTTCAACTAGAAAGGAAACTTAGAAGAATTTATTTTCCATTATTGCTATTTTAATTGTTATGTTGCTTATGTATGAGTTACGTAGGTGTTAATACAGCTAAAAGGGATGTGGGTTCCCCCTTCCCACAACAGATAAGCTAAATTACTGTTTGATTCTTTGACTCTAGGCTATGGTGGCTTGTTATCCAGGCAATGGAACAGGATATGTTCGCCATGTTGATAATCCAAATGGAGATGGAAGATGTGTTACATGTATATATTATCTTAATAAAGACTGGGATGCCAAGGTATGCAGTTTTTCTATAACTTTTTTTACATGTATTTGCTAATGCATCTTTGTTACCGATGTGTGTTCATGTCCTTATTTCTGTACCTTAGTTGTGTTCTTACATTATTTCAATAGTTGGTATCCTCTGTGATTCTCTCTGCAGTTAGTGAGATGTTCTACAGATGAGGCATTTCTTTCCGTGGTTTTGGAAGATGCTAGCAGAACCTCCTTGACAGTTAGATTGAAGGAAACTTGCATGTTTCCTTCATATGTTTCCATTATAGAGGTAATTAGATATTTGTGAAGCCTGGATACCAGTAGATACTTACGCAATTTATTGTATATCTGTTTGTATGGTGAACACCTCCCCACCCCAACACACACACGCTAAGCGTCAATAAATAATATTTGAAAGAATGATTTTAGTTCGTTTCTCCTTATTTTCATGTTGTTCCTTGAGTTTACTGTTGATGCCACTAGATGGTTTAGCTGAATATGCTTCTAAAAGTAAAGATACTGTAGCTTAGGAGCAGTTGCAAATGAACAAGTGTTACAATTCTTGCAGAATCAGCATAGTTCAAGGCCACACAAGTCTTTGTATTGTTGTAGCTACGGAGTGTAGAATAGATAAGCCTTTATGACCTAGGTGAAGTGGTCTAAGAAGTTGCTACCAGTAATTTGAAACTCTCCTTAGAAGTTATGCCTGCGATAATGGAACTTTTAATCAGGATTATCCTAGCAATTCAGTGGGATTAGGTAAACTTGAAGAATGGATGTAGTTAACCGGAGAGAGCACATGCAAAGATAGCTTTGCTTATTCCTTGGTTGCTATGCAGTTGCCTGTGCAGCAGGTTATTCTCATTGCATATAAAAGACAAGACAGAACTCCCTACTAGTATTTCTGTAATAATTCTTAGGAAACAATGTGCACTACACTTAACTAGGCTGTCCCCACATGAATTGAGTGCACTTAGTGTGGATAACACTAGTTGCAGCTAAGGGTGATTATTTTCATTTCATTCAACAAACCCTACCTGTTTCTTACAACAGCTGGATGAGACAGTGAGACTGATGAGATACTTGCATGAAACTTGTACATCTGAAAGCAAGTCAGAAATGGAAGCACTTGAAACTTTCTGCTTCTGACTGCTTTGTGAAATGTCAAATGGTAATCCTCCACTTAGGAAATAATTTATTAGCCTTCTTTGCATATGAGCCTATTGGTTGGACTGAACATCTTAAAATGCAGCTTTTGGGCATTTTTAGTTGAATTCCAGTTCTTCTCCCAGAAGAGCTGAATACATATCGGAGTCTAAAAGTCACACAGATTGCATTGTCAAAATAACTATGAAAAATTTACTAGCTGAGCAGAGGTACTTAATTTACTGCAAAATCTGTTTTAAATTACAGTGTATTATCAAGTATATTGATTAGCAAATAAAGAAGCTCCAACTTTCCTTAGGAGAACAAATTGATCTAAAATGTGACTTCTTGCTTGCTGATTTTGATCACTATTAAAAATTAGTCATTTAAATCAATGTACCTTGTTAGTATTTACACTCTTACGACCTCATGCTAAAGTACTTGAGTGGCTATCTGTAGTTAGGAAACCTAGATTTAACAACACCGATACCATTGACAGGAAGAAGTTAACATACGTAAATAGTTAACCTGATCTGGTTGTGATACATTCTAGGTATGCATAGTTGTCCACCTGTTTTTCAAAGCTTGGAAGAGATTTAAATTGACTACGAATAATAAGGAGTCAAGAATTAAACTGAAGTTCTCTAGGTTGTTTTTTTTTTTTTTGTCTTAATCGTGGGAACGTAGCATAAAGCTTTTGCTGCTGCTTAATTAAAGAATATGTTTAATGGGAAAGGGTGAAACTCAGGGTTGAAACTCCCTGTTCTTCTAATCCATATAGATTTGTCTTTGGTTTTTAGCCACCTGCTTGCATCAATCTGTTTGTCTGTTTTTTCTAAATTAGTAATGCAGTTAAAAAACCCCAACTAATTAAAAATCATACATTTCTACCAAAACAGGAATGGAGCTTTAATCTTTGTAAAGCTTTCTGAAATTACTTCAAAATATGCAAGACTTAATGCATTTCATTTAACAAGATCAGGAAAACTGTAGGTTCATAGTTTCTTTACCATCTGATGAAGGCTTTTATTTCAGTTGCAAATGTCTAAAATGTTTTTAATTATGAGATGCGGTACTTTGAAAGAATAAGTTTCAGTACATTTAAAGCACTGGTTTTAAATATTTAATTTGTAGGTAAGTGGAGGCATCCTTCGGATATTTCCAGAAGGTAAAGCCCAATTCGCTGATATTGAACCCAAATTTGATAGACTGCTATTCTTCTGGTCTGATCGCCGCAACCCTCATGAAGTGCAGCCAGCATTTGCTACAAGGTAGGCTTGATTTCATGTGTATTGCATGAAGCTGCTTTTATCATGGGCTGAGGAAATCCTAATGAGAAATGAGTGAAACTAATGAGTTATGACCTGATCCAGCCTACCTCCACATAAGTTTCAGGTGCACTGTGCCAAAACTTTTTTTTTCTAATGGTTGGTGTTTGGGTTCTGTTTGTGCTGCTGAATTTGTATTGACGTCTGATCTCCTGTTTTGGATAAAACAGTCTCTTGAACCAGGGTGGGTAAGGGGGAGATGAATGAAACGCGGAAACTTGTGAGTGTGTGTCAGACAGAACTGGGTAGGAGCAAACTAAGGGCATGTAGAGATCCCACCGTAGCTGAAGGGCATCTTTGTTTCTGCGTAGTGGCTTTATATTGCAGTCCCTGTCCTTTGTCTGTAGCATATTGCTGTGTTTTTAAATATTGACTAGCTGCTGCAGTTTTGGGTTCCCTTTAATTAGAAGGGAGGAAGTTCTTATAAAAGCCACTTTTCCTTTTTGTTTTTATTCTACAGCTGACTTAGTCTGGGAATTGGAGAGGGAGAGGGCTGCTGGGTGGAATCACCATTGATAGTCCGATCTTTGTCTTGCACATGGAGGGTTAGAAGAGTTGCTCCCAGTCTGACTCTCAGAGGGAACTTGATATCTCTTTTGTGACTTTGTTTAGAGCAGTGGATGATGCTGAAAATGCTTGCATTCCCTGCCGAAACGTATTGAGTAATGTTACCAGGTAGTGTTAATTGGTGAATCATTGGAGTCATTAATCCAAACTTCCTGTTGAGCTTTTTGTAACATATTTTGATGGTCAGAGTGCTGAACATTAACTCGAGCAGTGAGATAACACAAGTACCCGTGCAAGAAGTAATCCGAGAACTGCAGTCTGGGCGTCCTCTTGCTCAAAGCCTTTCAGGAGGCTGTGCCACTCTCCCCTCCCCTCTGTGCTCTGAGCAGAGTCGGAGGGTGAAATGCCATTTACCAGAGCTCCTTAAAGTATTTCCTCAATAGCTGGCCTTTCATATCGCAGCCCTCTATGGGTCATGGAAAACTGGAGGAGCTGGGCAAGGAAGGGAAGTTAATTTTCCCTTATGGTGACTTTTTGCAGTGTGACTCAGTACTGGACTTGACTGAGTAAAGTCAAAGATGAGGTCACAGGGCAAGGCGATATGCTTGGAGACTCTGTACTATCTGCTACAGTTTCTGGGCGAGAACCGTATAATAAGTTAACAGAAAAGTGTGAACTTATAGCACCAGCGTCGCCCTTTCAGTTACTTACCCTTTAGTAAGTATAGTCTGAATAGTCTTTCGGTCAGTAACTGTTCAGCCTATACTGACTAACCGAGAAACGCTGTTTACTTTACCCTTTGTGAAATCTTCTATCAAACTGCAGAAGTATTGTCTCATTTAATTTGAGTTTTGTTTTCAGTGCTTCATTACGGTATGTCTGTTTTTCTTAGCAGTTCAGGAATTTTTTTCATCCGTTTCCCTAGGTACGCAATAACAGTGTGGTATTTTGATGCAGATGAAAGAGCACGAGCTAAAGTAAAATATCTAACAGGTAATCGCTTGTAAATATCTTCTGTGTTCTTGTTTTGTGGAAGAAGGGCTAAACAGTCGAACCTCATCTCCTTGGCCTACCCAGCACACAAATGGGGCGGGAGGGGGCACCTAACTCCTATAATCAGGTTTTATAGGGAAGGCGATCCAGTGGTTAAGCTGCTAGTCAGTGACTTGGGAAATCCAGGTCAGTTCCGCGTTCTGCACACACTTCCTTTGAGACCTAAGGCTACTCAGGCTTTTTATATGGGGATACTGCTTCTCCTTGATCTTGTGCCTCTAATAGGTGTAGGTGTGACACCAGAGATCGTGAGGCAGCGCAAAAGTGAGCGCCATGTAAATGTGTTTGCTAGAATATAGCGATTTAGCAGTCAGATCCTGCTTGACTGGACTTGAGTCTCTATACTGGGAAAAACAAAAGGCTAAAATTAAAATCTGGAATTAAAGAATGGAGTTACTTCCTCCGTTGCCAAATCCACATATCTAGCATCTGTTTTCCTTTTCTGGCTTTTCCCTCAAGAGGAAGTTGATCTAACTTTCCTGTTCAAATTAACATTATAAGGAGAAACGGCGTGTAGGATTTGTCATTCTTGTTAATGCTATCATGTTTCTGTTGCAGTAGTTTATAAGTAAAGCAAAGTAGGTGTACCACAGGTACACGTGTATTCATAGGTCCAGATTCTCTACAGTTTCGCTGAACGCTCTGATTCATACTGTTCTGAAGACATGAGCCAGTCCAGATCAGATTTCTGTTGATTGCTGTAGAGTGCCTGAAGCTCTTGGAACTATCTAACAGATGTGGAAACGACATTTAAGTTGGCTTTGGTGCTGTTGGTGACTTGCATTTCTGAAGGAGTGAAAGAAATGTGCAGCTCATGCTCTGGCTTGGAAAGAAATGGAGAGAGCTGAGTACCTAACCCGTGGCTGGGGCAGCGGCAGGCTGCCGGCGCACGCTTGCGCTGCTCGGTGGCGCACGTGCCGTGCGGCGCTTCCCAGGCTGCCGGGAATGCCGGGCACCCGCCAGCGCAGCTCGTCTCCGGAGGCAGCGTATGTGCGTGTGCAAGTCAGGCTTCATGGCACGCAGATGTGACTGTGCAACTTCTAGGACCGGCCTTGCTGGATCAGAGCTGTTTCAGCTGTCTCCACGTGGCTTCTGCTGATGCTGTTTCAGGGTAGAGTGCACAGAAATTATTCAGATCATCCTGCGTTTGCAGGTTAGATCTTCTCCCCCTCCCCTGCCCTGATCTACCCTAAAAACTGCAGGGACTTTAAAAAAAACAACCCCTTATACTCTATTGTGCACAGCTGTTTTTCCTCTTAAAAATACTGTTCTTTGAAAGTAAGCAGGCACATACTCTGTAGCTTCAGATTGTCTGCAACTTTACTCCTGTCTGGCTCTCCAGTCAGTTGCTCTGTTTAAGGAGCAGTAAGTGGGTTCAGTATTTCACTGCAAATGACCCACTTAAGGGAGGAAAGAAAGGGAGGGTGAAGAAGCTGTTAAAATTGTGGTATTGCTTTGGTTTGTGATTGATTTGTCTTATCATACTGTTGTGATTCCAGTTTTATTTGGAATTAAAATTGCATTCTTACCTCTGTAGCAAGGATTGTGTAAGACACTTCGTATTTTCAACTGATATTAAAGAATAAAAAACTATTAATTTTGGCCTAGTGTCAGTCTAATTAGAGCCGTACATAATCTATGTGAATTTTTGTTGAATATGGGATACTGTGTCTGTTAATGTTTTGATAGTCAAACTTTTCTAAGAGGTATCTAAGAGGTGATTTTTAGCAGCAAGTCAGATGGGATTTTGTGTTTTAGAAATCCTTCATGGTCTCTTTATAAAAAGATAAATACTCTGAAACTCTGGGTATTCTAATCCAGTATGATAGACCAAATCCTAAGATTCTCACATGGATGTTTTGAGAGCTTACCTTTGTATATATGATACCAAGCATCCAGTTTTCAATTTGGGCAGCTAAAGAAATGTCTCCTTTCAGAGTTGAGGAGTAGCTGTGGCTCATTAACTTTAGTCCAGGATACAGCAGCTGTACTGACCTGTTCTGATAGATCATACTATCCATCTCCAACTTTGGAGATAGTTTTTTTAAAAACTAATCTTGAAAGTAGTGTAGCAGTTCTATAGACTGTACTTTGATAAATGCTGAAAAATAATTCTGATTTCCTTTTCGTATTTCTGCAGGTGAAAAAGGTGTGAGGGTTGAACTAAATAAACCTTCTGACACGATTGGGAAAGACGTTTTATAAGCCTTTGATTTAGCAACTCCCCTTGCTATTCTCCCTGATAAATCTTGATGCTATCTATTAACTTTTGAATGTGAATAACAAGATAAAGGAAAATCGACAACCAACCAACATTTTAATAAAGAAGCAAACAGTGTTTCAATGTTGCATCAAATAGAAGATTTTTTTTGACTGCTGAAGCATTGTACTATGTGATTGTGACTCCAGGCCTGTGACTGCTTATGTGAAGAAGATAAGCAATCAGTAAGAAACAGCATATGCATCTGGACATGAAATAAGTGCCCTACATAGAATTTGTCCATCCTTATATTTTGCCAGACCTGTCATCCAGCTGAATCTAATTCATCTCTCCCTTTTTTTATATGGTAAAAGTTTGAATTTTGGGTAATTTTTGTATGACCAGGTACAGTTTATCAAAATTGAGTGTTTAAAAAAAGAAAAAGGAAAAAAAGAAAAAAATTACAGTATTCTCCAAAATAACATTGATCTATTTTTGTAAAACTACTCATACTGTTCTCCTCTGCCATGAAAGACCTAATTTAATATAAGGGTTGCCAGTAACTGATAATCACTTTAATTTTCTTTACATCTTAAGTCAGAAAAGGAGCACTTTAATTACCAGCTAAAAATCTGATTGTTTTATATTCATATCTCACACTAATCTTAACTTTTAAAGATTGCTGCTGTATTTTTTTTTGACTATGTCTTCTTGAACCTTATTAACAGAAGCAAATCAGTATCTCGCTATTAGTAACATTCAGTTTGTGGTTTTGTATGTTGAATCCACAGAGGGGAAGTTTCTGTCTCTTTGTTTTTGGGGTTTTTTTGTTTGTTTTTTAAGTGACTGGCACTAAGTGAACTTGACACTATCGGTTGCTGTTATTGGCTTTGGGGACCTGGTAAATACCCTCAAGTTACAAGAATATACAAGGGCTTTCCTAGGCTATTAGAGGTACCCAGAACCTCCTTATGTACTTGACAGAAAATTTTGAGCTTTCTCCCTTTTCTAAAGAATACCTGCCCATCCCCCTTTTCTTTGTATATAAGTTAACAAATATCTAAAATATACCTTTTTTCCTTTCCAAATGTTGGTGTCCCATCCACTCTGTAAGTTGACACCTTGATCTATTATATAGTATCATGGAAATGGTCAGCACACTGAAGCTGAAGTGCATCACTGCAGGCTCCATGTGCAATACAAGATTTTCACTGTGTTGAAGGGTTTCCCCAGAAAGGCATTGCCCTTTAATCAGTACTGAGATACCTATTTAGTAAGCAAACCTTTACTTTGTTTTATTATTTTCATTTTTTGAAGGAGAGGGGACATCACAGAATAAAAATGAGATGTGCAGAAACTTTGTTATTCTTATTTTTAAGAAATGGATTTTTTTGACTCCTTCCCCTTCTCCCCCCCCCCCCCCCCCCCCCAGTTTTAAAAGCTTGAGAAAACAAAAACAAACCCTATAAAATACATCATTCACATTTACAGGAGTTTGGGGATTGATCAGCTTACCCACTGCAGTTTTCTATCTGTCCCTTATTTCCTTACTTAGCCAAAACAATGTGAGTGTACAGAAATATTTCTGTATATATTACAACTTGTGACAATTTTAGCATCTGTATAGTTTGTATTCAATTAGAGACCTTTTCTATGGAAAGCTCAGTAATTTTTTATTAAAAAGATTACTATTGTTCATGTAAAACATGAAAAAGCTAATTGTTTAGTAGCAAACTGACAAGGGGGAAAAAATTCAATATTGGTGTATCTTTTAGGAGAACCAACAGAAATTCCAGGTTTGTTTTGATTTCACTTCTCCTTTTTCGATAAGTTCTTGCCCTTTACAATTCTCTTCCTCTTTCCTATTTTTTTTTCCTGGAAAATCAGAGAGGATACCTTTACTGTAAGTGCCTCTGCCAACCTGGCCAAGGAGTGCAAATCTTCATTACTGTCTGGTCTGCAGCACATTTAGGCTACCAATGTAAAAAAAAAAAACCCTTCACTTCATCTTCTTTAATATTACTTTAACAGAGGTTTGGTTGGTTTTGTTTTAGAAATGTACAGCATAAGCCTTTAAACTTCATTTCAGTCCCTCTGTCATTCAAACTTCTGCAGTTACACAACGTATCAAATTCTAATCACGGTGTAGGTTTGTGCTTGCCAGACAGGTTTAAAAAGTGCTTAATTTTTCACTCCACTGAAGTCATTACAATAGGGTCAACAAATCAGGTCAGCCATTTCTTCAATGTTATCCTTTAGAAACTGTTCATTTCATGTCGGTTGAATATTCAGTTTTAAGCATCACCAAGCAGGTCCTTGTTTTAAAACTATTTTTTAAACTGTCTTATGATCTGTATGTGTCTAGTCCTGGTTAAAGATACAGCTTCATAATGCTATTTTTATTCATGATGTTAGCCAGCTGTAAAATATGAGACCTTTATCTAGAGCAGGCAAAGAAATTCAGGATCCATTTACAGGTTGCCTATAAAGTTGTGTAATTTGAAAAGCAGTGTTCATTATGAAAGAGCTCTCAAGTTGCTTGTAAAGCTAATCTAATTAAAAAAACGATGTATAAAGGTTCTTGAAAACAATGTGGTTATTTGTAATCTATGTAACTTTTAAGAACTTCTCCCTAGTAACTAATTTCTAATATGATAAAGGGGGTATGTGGATTTTTTTAATTATTTTAAACAAAACCTGTTTCCGCTCTGGAGAAGCGTCTGTTTCTTTGTAAATTGTCTATGATTATCTGGGTGTGGTGATTATTTTTTCTGATGCTTCTCTCCCTTAAAAATGGCACCAAGTTTAGACTGGCTAGAGAGTGGTGACCCACATAGAGGCAGCTTTCATTGTCCACCACTTTTTTGATAGGTACATGAGGTGCAAGGCAATGTTCTCGCAGACGGGGTTTAGTACAGTGTAATGGGGACTCTTCAGTTTTGCATGGCTCCTAATGAACTATGAGCCCTTTGAAAATGGCGGAAGAATGGTGGGATCTAGAGATGCCAGATGCCAACCCGTACAAGGTGCCGCGTGAGTTCCCCGAACGTTTCAATGCACCTCTTAATGGCTGTGTGGGAAGCAAGGAGGTGTCTTGCTGTGAGGCTTCTGCCTTGGCTCCAGCTCTTAGGAAGCCCTCTGGAGGTGCTGTGTTTCTCGTGCTGGGTCAGCAGCAGTCACCTGCCTCTCTGGAGGATCCTACCAGCCTTATGCGCCTTCTGTGACGCTTGGATACTTGCTGAGCTCAGTTCTGATCTGAGGTGATCACCGTTGTCGGCGTGTTGGGCTTGAGCCTAAGTGTGGCAGCACTGAGCTGGTCCTGAAATGCTTTGAGACTTTTCCATACTGCAGTGCCATGTAACTAACTTGCACGTTCTCTCAAAATATCTCTGCCACGTCTTTCTTTTATACTGAGCAAGGAAGAAACCTTCTAGCACTTACGACCATCCTGCAGAGATGTGATTCTTAATTCTCACAGAGTTGAGCATGATGTGCAGGGGGTCACTTTGCACAGTGAACACCGCACCAGAGAAAGGTGAAGTCTCTTTTGCGTATTGTTTGAAAGAAAAACACTTGCAAGTCTGGCAGGAAGCTAGCTGACAGCCTGAGCAGTGGAGACAAATACCTTGTGTAAGACTCAATTTAAGGTCAGGAGCGAAAGACCATATCTGTAAGTCACACTGTAAGCATAATCAGATGGGAAACTACCACTTTTGTGCCTGCTGAGGGCTTTACATGAGGTGACGTTGCTAAATGACAATAGCAAACTCAATCCCCCAAACCCAGGAGTCTAGCATGTGTATGTTCCCTATAGGCATGCAGATAGCTGCATGCACTTGCAAATACATAGTGGGAAATTATGACTACTCTGCAGCAAATACTTTGAAGGAATTCATGGCACTGCATGCATTTAGTGTTTTTGTGGGTCGAAAGCAAGCCTTGAATGTGGGTGATTGCTGCAAATGTGCTGAAGCCTGTTTGTGCTATTACACCACTGCAGGAGCTGCATTCGCTCGAAAGTGTCTACTGCTTCCAAGTGTCTACTGGCCCCATATGGTGGGAGTGACAAGCAGCTGCTAGAAGCGGGTTCGAGGTCCTCTGTCCAGCAGCCAAAACAAATTCCAGAGAATTCTTGTTCTGTTGACTTTTGCTACCATTTGCTCCGTTCCAGCAAGCCTTTCCCCATAACCTTGAGGATGAGTAAGTATACAGCACACTTATCCCTTTCCTCAAACGAGCAGAAAAGCCCCTAGCTCCCGAAGGGAAGAGCCAGGTCCCTGGCTCTTAGAGAGGACTTGGGGTCCGCTCTAAAAGCAGAGGGAGCAATGAGATACATACCCCCAACCTATGGGGGGTAGATGTGAGCCCTTAGCAGGACAGGGGTGAAGGAAGGAGTTGACTAGAAATGCTAAAGGAGGTCAGGAAGAGACTGATGCATGTAACTAAGGTAAAGCATGCGTGCGGGCTAAGTATGAGGAATATGGGACATACCAAGCAAAAATGTATGTTATGGATGTCTCCCTGTGGGGAGGAATATGAAAGGTGAGGAGAAAGAATATGTTTGCCTCAGGAAAGAAAATATGTGTGGATGGACAAACGTTAGTGTGTCCCATCAACCTTTCCCTTCATGGATGTGTGCTGCAAAGTACTGTATTTTGTCTCTGAAGATGAAAAGTTCATAATTTTTTGCTTGAACTAGCAATTGTTTTTCTTGTCTATCTTCCAGATGTAAGTTGTTGGGCTTTGGGGATTTTTTTTTTTTTCCCCTCTTATTAAGTGCGTAGTTCAGTATATGGGTTCTTTTGGAGAGCTCGTTATAACTACCTTGTATGCAACCTGGTTGCTAATGCTGGAAAAAGTGACCAGCTCATTTAGCCTATAAGCGCAGTATCAACGTCTTCACGTGGCTGAAAGTCTACAGGGCATGTCTCGCGTTTGAGTGGTGAGGGACATAAAATTCACAGGTGGACTAAAGCCTTGCCAGTATTGCATATAGCTGAGTCAGTGCTTCAGTGCTGTGCCTAAACCAGAAACCCTTCCTTCCTGTCAAAAGCAGTTGGAAGTGGTAAATGAAATTTCGAGTCTGAAACCTCAGCATGTGGGTCCAGTGTTCCTTTTGGGCCCATCTCTGTTCCGCTGTGGTTTATTAGGGCAGAACCAGTTCCTTCCTGGGTTCATTTCAAGAGCTGGTGTGGTTCAGCCTCTTTTGGATTATATATAAAAGGTGAATCCAAAATAGTTAAAATGCTGAGATGTGAGTCTTTCCTCACAAGCGGAAAGGCAAATACCTGGATATTGCATTGGGTTGTGAGCTGGTATTTCAGTGCCTAAAGAAAGCCGGGGTCAAACAAGGGAGCAAGCAAAAAAAGAACAGAATGAGCATAGGGCAAGACGCTTTTAGGCTGTGAATGGCTCTTGCTTACATTAGTACATGTAAGCAAGCTTTAAAAAGCTATTAGTA